AATGCAGCTAGCAGGGTGTGCAGCATACCTGCAATGCAGCTAGCAGGATGCCACAGGCAATAGACACGCTGATCTCATTGTAGTAGTGAACCTTCTTCTTTCCGTTTGCAGCAAAACCGTGGACTTGTTTAAAAACAAGGATCAGAACTGGGGCAGTGTCCAAGTACTCCTTAATCCAGTTGGTTCTTTGGGGACAGAGTAGAAAGAACATTTAGAAGACTATTTACTCTGAATTTTGAGGGTTTTTTCCTCCCTTTTTAAAAACTACCTTAGTTTAGCTATGATTTTTACATACACATTTCCTTGTCTTTTATTATTGAAGTTGAAAAAGATTAGATTTTTAATTTTTGCCATATTTATCTTTTTCTATAAGGTTAATGAGATAAATAAACATACATTAGTGTGTGCCAATAATGGAAAAGTGGGCAAAATGCTGAAGGAGACAGAAAGATGTAAGAGTATCTCGTTTTGTTTTTTGTTTTTATTTGATATTTTAGTTATTTACATTTCAGATGCCATACCCTTTCCTTATTTCCCCTCCTTAGAGGAGGGGAAATATCTCATCCCTCCTCCTCCTTTTTGCTTTTATACCATTTTAATTACATGCAAGTATTAAGGTCAGTTCTAGGTTGAGAAACCAGCAATACAATAGATGCAAATAGTCAAGGAACAAGCAAGACAATAAACATAGTCAAAGAACAAGCAAGGCAATAAACAAAGTTCTGTGAACACTTCCGTGATCATTGTTTCGAAGAGCATACCAGGATGACCAAGATATCTGAGCCTACTTCCCTGTCCTAGCCCAAAGTCATTTTCATGTCTGAAGCCTACTTCCTTGTTCTAGCCTAAAATTTAGATTCCTGCCTGAAATTATTTCTTTGTCATAGCCTACTATTTAGATTCCTGCCTGAAATTAGATACTTGCAGTGTATTTGGCATAATCCTAATACCTCTCTGGGTTTGTTAACTTTGCATAGTTATGTTATGAATTTAAAGAATGCTGCTCTGCTGAACATTGATGCTGAAAATACTGTTTATAAAATTACACATAGTATTTCTACTTTGGTCAAGCTTCAAGAATGGCATATATAGCTTGATCATGCTAGCCCTTTTTGTCCTGGGAATACTTTTATTCCTGCCCATAGTGTTAAAGCTTGTCTTTAACAACATCAACATGTTGGCAGCCAAAGTACATGGTTTGAAACTGAAAATGGACCCCCAGACAGAGTTATTAAATTAACAGGCTGGCAAGCCAAGGACGGGTAATATTCTGCACAGAGCCTTACCAACCTAAGACATAAATGCATTGTTTTTGATAATGCATATTCCATGATGGGCAAAGAAGGCATTCTTGTTAGGACAACCTAAGACAGGCTCAGTCTTGTTTATGAAATAAAAAAGGGGGGAGGCAGAAAGCTTTTGGGGCTGCTTGGTAAGAATCTGACATGGGCCAAGGACAAGGAAATGGGCTGCATAGCAGGAATATGACATTGGCCAAGGACAAGGAAGTAGGCTTCAGGCAGGAATCTGACATTAGGTTAAACAAAGAAGTAATTTCAGGCAGGAATTTAAATCTTAGGCTAGAACAAAGAGTATCTTTTATTCTTTGTATTAATTGTCTCCAGTTATTTACTGCTTCCATTTGCTGACATAGGCCTATGCCTGGAAGTTTCTAGCCTCTTTACAATCTTATCTAGGCCCAGAGTGTTTTCAGTCTTGAGACTTACTACTAAATAAGCTTATCCCTTCTTAGTTCTTTCTGGTCTCTGGCTAGCTGGTTCAACTCAACTGTTCTGGCTCAAACTCTTCTCCATGTTCATCCAACCTGGCTTCTCTGGGCTTCTCTGGGCTTCTCTGGCCTTCTCCTGAATTTCTCTGTTTGATCTCAAACTATCTCTGTCAATCTGTTCTAATCTTCAAGCTTCTTATTTTCTGGCTCATCCTGTCTTCACCTGTGTTTAGCTTGTTCTCTCTCTGCAACCTGTCACTGTACAACTGTCCCAGTAAAACTACCTCCTTCCCTCTCTCTGCACTGCTCTCCCTTAAGTCACCTCTCTTTCTCTGTTCCTCTCTGTTCTCACGAAAGTTGGGCATATCCTATTCTGTCAAATCTTTCTCTGATTTGTCACTTTGTCTGCCACTCAATTAAACATCACTTTCTAACAGTGATGCATTTTTTTTTTATAAACTAACTTTATCTTCATTGTTTGGGATTACAGATGTGTTCTAAGGGCATGACTGTATTCCAGCCAGAGGGATTAAAGGTGTGTGCTAAGTCTGAGCCACACCACAACTAGAAATATTTATTTTTCAGCAAATAATACAATCTTAGGGTTCACAATGGGATCAAATATCCTGAAACAGAAAGACTCTATAGCCTTTGATCACCAAGCAGGTGTTCACCAAAACAAAGCCTGCTGAGTGCTACTAATGCATTAGATAACAAGTACCACTCTGAAAGCAAAGTGTTGGTTGTGTAAAAGAACATTGAAAAAGACCACTGGAAACATCAAAATGGCCTCCAGTTGGGCAATGAAGATGAGGAAGGGTAGTTGGAGAGGGCTATCCTGGAAGAAAGAGTGGGTGAGTGTAGTCAAGGAGGGAAGATGATGTATAGCAGATCAGGATGGAAGGCATGCTGGCCGTTACATGGGTGGGATGGAAGGTACATGCAGATTTTGCAGGGTCCTTATATGGTAAGTGATGGAGGGTTTACCTTGCACTTAGCAGCAGTGTCATGTGATCAGACCCATTTTAGAAACACGGGCAATGCTGATGAGAATGTCATCACCAAGAGTGGCAGTTGAAGAACCAACTACAAAGTCGTCATAGTGGGAGGGGACCCAGATATTGGACCATGGTCGTGGCCCAGGCAGGAGGGTGGTCAAAGGATGGCCAGGCTGGGGAGAACTGAGGGAGGAGTTACAGTTGCTAGAACAAGGAAAGAAGCAATGTTGGGGACAGCAATGGTGCCAACGAGAGTGAGCAGATGAAGAAATCCTAGCTGTGGAGTGAGGTAGAGCGCTTCTGAGGGAGGCCATTCATGTGGATACTGATGATAACTTCATATTTCTGTTTTCCAACTCTAAACATATCTTTCTTGATTCTACTACCCTGCCCTCTACATCTGTGCTGAAACTTCATTCTAGAACAGATATCGAAAAGAGAGATACAGGCCTGTAGAATTATCTATTCCAAACAGCTGCCTTTTTCCTATGGGATATTACAAATAATTATCAAGAAATGGTGATTATTCATTTTATGGTTTAGCCTGGTTATGAGTCAACATTTTAAGACACAACAGAAATGTATATCATGCTGATCTCAAGCTTTTGGGATCTGCCCTCCCACCTCAACCAGCTTAGTCCAACTGGTTAGTATGTTTTTCACCTCACAGAGAGAGGACATTCATGATTTAGAGCAGCTCTGATGCCACAATAGCTGGTTTTGTTTTCACTGTGTAAAGCTGGCTCCTGTGCATGGTCCTTGTGATGGTTAAGTAAATTAAGTTATGGAAAGTGGTGTTTACTAACACACACATCACACTTTTACATCACAGAAACGACGAATAAGAAGATCCCTTTTGATCGCTTACTGAACTCACTAGATTTCTAGCATGGAGTGGTTACCAGTAACACATGCTACCTTCAGGCCATGAGCAGGCCCGGCAGCTCTGGTTTTCATCATTCATTGAGGAGGCTTAATGCTGCCAAAAGGCCGTGCCTGTGCCCCAAGGCTACATTCTGCTATGTAAATTGCATTACATTTTTGGATATTTTTATAATTTAAGATTTTGGTCATATTCCTAATGTTTAAAATTAACTTTTAAAATTCTTAGTTTAAAAAAATCTTATGTGTATGGGTATTTTGTATGCATCTATATATGTATACCATGTGCATACCTGGTGGCCAAGGAAGCCAAAAGAGGACACTGGACCCCCTAGGACCAGAGGTACAGACCACTGTAAGCTGTATGGTAGGTGCAAAGAACCAAATTTAGGTCCTCTATTAGAGCAGCAAGTGGTCTTAACCACTTAGACCTTTCTCCAGACCTGATTAAATTTGAAACACATATAAAATATGTATAGAGAAGTAAGCAAAGCAAATTTTAAAAAATATTTGAGGAAGATTAAGCAGTCTGCCTAGCTTCTAAGGCAAGTCAATCATTCAAAAATATTTTCATACTTACTTTGCCTAAGCATACTTTATCAGCTGATCTTTTTCGTTTAGTCTCGGTTAGTTTAGTTTTATACTAATTCATGAAGGCATCATACTGGAGCAAATAAAAAGGCTGCAGGGGACAGGGACTACTGAGGAGAGAGCTGGCATTTTCAGATCTGGATAGACAGCTACCCAAGCCCGAGACAGTAAAGGTTGAATATTACATTATATATTAAAAATACCAGCTATGGACTTCAAAGGCAGCTGGAAAAGGTGACTGGGCACAGTGTCCATTTGCTAGTGTGTGTGTGTGTGTGTGTATGTGAATATGTCTTATATGTATCTGTGTGAGTGTATGTATGTGTGTACCCGTGCACATACTGTTGGTTAAGCAACTCTGTAACTTTATTGTATTCTCAAGAGCTACTTGGTTTGTATTATGAATTTCTAAACAAAAATGTCTATGAAATGAGAAGAAAGTGAACTAATAATTGAAGTGCTGAGTGCTGGTAGCTATTTTAGATGTGTGAACGTGCACGTAAGGAGAGTGGGTACATAGATGAGAGAATGATTAAGCTTCAGAGACAGGAAGTGAGGGGTGATGAGTTCTGAAGGTACTGCGTCCAGCTGGAGTCCCGTGTTTCACTAAATGAAGAGTCCACTTTGACTTTGACTTATCCTTTCTTTTTTGTGAATGTACAGTACGCGTTATAGTTTCATTGTTAATACCTCACGCTTATGTGAGAGCACAGTATGACATAATACACTCCATAATACATCTGTTCCTATATAGTATAAACATCATAAGATAAAATTACGCCCTCACAATAACAGCAGGGCCAAGAGATCCGTTACTCCTTCCTCTCATGTGGATTCCTAGACTAGAAGTCCCCCTGCGTCACCAAGCTTGTGATCCCAACCTTCTCTCGCAGGCTCCTGTCACTGTGTCACATGGCAGGTAACAGAACTGGCCACAGAAGGCCACCGCTGGAGACAGAGGCAGTGGGCCTCTCTGCACTGCCTGGAGCTGAGAACTTGGGCTTGCCTCCTTTAGGGCCTTCTGAGAGGTGAGAGCCAATACCCACCCACCTTGCCCCCCACCCCTGCCCCAGGTCACCCCGACTTTCACTCTGTTTTCTTTTGAAGGGAGGAGCCCACAGTACTAATATATTTTTGATAATGCAGACCTACTAAAGGTGCTCTTAATTAAAGGTTAAGTGGTAACACTGTTTGGAATGATCCTGTCACTGTAGCAAAAAAGGATTTGCTTCATTCAGGATCCTGGGAAGCACGTCACAATCTTATGTTCCGGACTGGTGGAAAGTGAAGTAATTCTTCAGTTTTAGCTAACAAGCAGTTTCTGGGCTGGAGAGATGACTGAGCAGTTAAGAGCACTTTGTGCTATTCCATGGGACCCAAGTTCAGTTTCCAGCAACCACATCAGTCAGTAACCAAGTGCCTGTAACTCCAGCTCCAGGGGTTCTGATACCTCTGTCTTCTATAGGAACCTGCACATGCATAACTATTCAACACACACACACACATGCACACGCACACACACACTTATAAAATAAATCTTTTAAATAAATAAATAAATAAATAAATACACTTATAAATGAATTTTTAAAAATAATTTTTTAAAAAATAATTAAAAAACAATTATTTAGGTCAGAGCCTTTGCAAAGGGTGAAAATAAAATGAAGAAACAAAACAAACAAGAGAAACAAGGTGAAACTTGATTTTGTATGCACATACTGAAATGCTACACTGTGCCATATTAATATGAACACTTAATACATCATCAAAGTAAGATAATAAAAAATAATTTTAAATCTTACAAACTCAGGACCTGCAGTGGTAATTTCTTACAGTAACAGGCAAACCAAGGACCCCTAATTCCATCAGCTCTGTACCTCAGTTTCTTCAGGTCTGTGACCCACCGCTTTCCCATCCTTTTCATGTAATTTATTTCTTCCTCCTCCTCGATAATCTCTCGGATCTTATGCTTCATGTCTGGGTTCTTCACCACCACAAAGGTCCAGGGCTCTGTGTGGGCCCCACTTGGAGCTGTTCCTGTTGCCCATTAAATTAAAAATGAGTGTAAGACTGCAGAAGAATGTAAAACTGATCATTAAGAGGAAGTACAATAGCAGGTACTGTGCTGATGAATGTCTGTAAGCCCATTCAGCAATTGGGAGGCTAAGGCAGGAGGATTGGAAGCAAGATCTTGTGTCAAAAAGCTATAGAAGGCGGAAGAAGGGCAGACAGAAAGAGGTGAAAGAGGAGGAAGAGAAGAATAAGAGAAGGAAGAGGAGAAGGAGGAAGAGAAGAGGAGGAGGAAGAAGAAGAGGAGGAAAAGAGAAGAGGAAGAGGAAGAGGTTGAATTTAATTTAAACTCACATACCCGCACAGGGTGGGAACTATTGACTGTTGCCATTTAGATAAAGGATACAACTATCCAAGGCATTTGTATTCTTGACTGAAACAAAGTATTCTTGAAACCTTTTGGATTAAAGATGGCTCTCAATGAGTATGCAACAAGCTCCACACAGGAAAGTAAATATGTCTTAGAGAGGCATAAGATAACAGAAAAGACAATCCTAGAGGAAGAGTGTAGCCATCAGTGTTCTTGGTTTCCCCTGGGCAGGGATATTTACATTTAAAGTGAATTTATCTTGCTTTAGTTAGCTTTACAAACTCACATAAGGAAATATTGCTGTTTTGCTCATTCAGCCAATTATTGTATTAGAGTGTCTTGGAGTTTGTTTCTTAAAAGTCAAACATATAAGTCTGAACTGAATGTGGAGGAAGGGGCCTGCTTTGAGGAGGGGAGAGATGTTTCTCCTGCAATGTGTACTAACATATTCAGAATTTTTAGCTTTAAATAAAATTTATAAAATGTATTGACTTAAAAAGATTTTAATGGTTGTCACATCTGTTTTCCAAGAAAATAAAGAATCAAAATGTAGAGAGAAATCCATGTTTCTGGCAGTCACTAAAAATGGGAAAGCGTTTGTGGTGGTTTGAATACGCTTGGCCCAGGAAGTGGCACTATTAGGAAGTGTGGCCTTGTTGGAGGAAGTCTGTCACTGTGGAGGTGGGCTTTGAGATCATCCTCCTAGCTGCCCGAGAACAGTTTCCTGTTTGTCTTTGACGTAGACGTAGAGCTCTCAGCTCATCCAGCATTATGCCCGCCTGGACACTGCCATGTTCCCACCTCGGTAATCGTCCCCTGAACTTCTAAAACTGTAATCCAGCCCCAACTAAATGTTGTCCTCTCTAAGAGTTGCCCCGGTCATGGTGTCTGTTCACAGCAGTAAACCCAAACTATGATGCCTTCAAGGATAAACACACCACCCTGGCATGTTTGAACTTCAGTGCTGTCCCAACATTGTCTCTGTCACAGCATCTGACATTCTGCAAGGCTCGGCATGCAGTTACCTACCTGCTGCTTTGATGACATTGTCAATGACTTCCACTGGGACTTGCTCACTGCTGATAAACCTGACAGAGCGTCTCTTATTGAGGAGCTCGTAGAACTCCTGGGATCTCATCCTCATTTCCTGCTCTGGGTAGCGGGTGTGAGAGAATGGGATGTGTTCCACAGTCTCCTCTGACTCTTGCCATTCCTCAGCATCTGCAAACAAGAGGCAGGAGCACAGAAAATTCAGCTGCCTCCCTGGTTATAAGGTCACTTGGGGTCAGAGGAATAAATTTCCAGAAAAGTCTAAATGGTGATGTAATTTTTTAAAAAGAAAAAAAATAAAAAAGTAGATCTGTAGAATTTTGACCACTGATCATGATCATTCTTCAGAATTTAGACCTGTCACAAATCAAAAGAGATTACAAACAATAATTAACAAGTGGAAGTTCTGTTAAACGGCAGAGTAGGTTATTTAACACAATTCCCCATTCAGGTCACCAAATGAGGCAGTTTTTGTCTTTGTCAAAGCATTGGGCTAACAACACAGTGACTCATGTTTCCTGCTTACATCTGCCAGTTCCTACAGGTTCAGTCTCTGTTTTAATCCTTGAGCATCAAGGATGACCCAAACCAAAGCCCACACAATAGGAAGTTGAATCAGCCCAGACCCTCTAGTTACATCCTTTGGGAAAGTGGATTGTAAAGATGTCATCCTTCAGGGGCCTAGGATATTTTTGGTGTGTTTCTCTTCCAACTCAGTGTTTCTTCTTGGAAGTATCCCAGTTGTCTAGCAGAAGCAAATGACAACGTGTAAAGAATTTTAGAAACAATTTCTAATAATTCATCAATGTAATCCTGCATCCAAGAGAACAGAATATCTTGAGTAAAATTAGTAAAATCAATGCTTAGTAATAAAACCAGGTGCCCCAGTGCTCCAAGAATTCACAGAAGAGCAAACAACTATGACACTATGCTTAAAGAAAAAAATGATATACTTATAAAAATTTCTACGGATTATTATAATCTAACTAGAATTATTTAGATTAAATTGCTGGTAAGAAAAAATAAAATTCTAGACTAGAAAAAAGAGCAAAAGACAGAGAACATAGATGAATGATCAAGAAAAACCAGAGCCAGTTTACTTAGGAGCATGAAGAAAAGCAAAGAAACAAATAAGCTTCAGAGTTATAGTGGCTTCCGTAAGGTAGGGACGAGGGTGTGAAGGAAATGGAGTTTGCAGAGAATACCAAAAGGCAGGCCTACAAAGTGTATCTGAAAAGGTCTTTAGAAGGGGAATGGGCGTACTCTGAATGCTAGCCTGCTGTATGAGTGGAAGAGACCTGGAGACATCATGGAAGATTAAATGTGGCTGCTCTGCATGGATGAGTCAGAACACAGAAGAAAGCAGGAGCCCATGGGGCTGAACTTCAGAGTGCACAGTTCCGTGAAATTAGTTACCTCAAAGTCCTCAAAAATTGTTAAGAGGCATCAGTCTCCTGAAAGCATGTGAAGCTGACTCTCTCTCCTGCTCCCTGCTCCCCCCCCCTCTGTGTGTGTGTGTGTGTGTGTGTGTGAAACAGAACAACCTTGGATGTCCTTCATCTTGTTTTGGAGATAGGTTTTCTTTTCTGGCATGGTGTGATGGTTTTTATGTTTGGCCCAGGGAGTGGCATTATTAGGATGTGTAGCCTTGTTGGAATAGGTGTTTCACTGTGGTGTGTGGCTTTAATACCCTAGTCACAGCTGCATGGAAGTCAGTATTCTGCTAGCAGCCTTAAGATGAACATGTAGAACTCTAAGTTCTGCCTGTACCATGCCTGCCTATATGCTGCTGTGCTCCTGCCTTGATGATAAGGGAGTAAATCTCTGAACCTGTAAGCTAGCTCCAATTAAATGTTGTCTTTTATGAGACTTGCCATGGTCATGGTGTCTGTTCCCAGCAGTAAAACCCTGAGACACATGGACACCATTTAGACTAGGGTGGCTTTAGTGACTGTCAGGGATTCATTCATCTGCCCCTGCTTCACCAATTCATAATATAGTACCTAAGATTCAGACTGTTTTTAAAACGTTTCTGTGGTTGTTTGGTGTTTGCTTGGTTGGATGTCATTTGGTTGTTTGGTTGTGGGTTCTGTTGTCTGATTGTTTTGTTTTCCAATAGGGCAAGCTCGGCTGACATGTAAGTTACACATGTGCTACAGATACACGAGCTATAAGAAGCACAGTGAGAAAAGGCATGTCAAATCCTGAAGATGACTGAGATAGTGAGTGGATGAACAATTTTCTTCTCCAGGCCATGCTCGGGAGATGCCTGGAGCCATGATTTTACCATGGTTTGTGGTGACGATATTCTGGGCTGAGGGACATTTTGTGGGTGTGATTGACTCAGGAATTTTTTTCAATGTCTTAGTTACATAGCTGCAAAACACAAAGTATCATGCATGTATAATACACATTACCTTTATCAACACTCCCATACCCTTCCTGGAATATTAAAATAGGCAATTTGTTCAACAAGATCTTATTGAGAATTTATGAATAAAATGAGCATGATTTCTATATCCTTAGAGCTTATATACGTAAACAAACCAGCAAGTATGTTTAAGGATAGAATAATAAACTGTAATCATTCCAATGGAGTAGATTGTTTTTTTTTTTTTAATGAAGTTACAGAGATTTGGAGGAATGACCCAGAAAAGGAAAACAAGGGATGGGAGTGGGGGGTCTGAGACTGTGAAGGAACCTGAGCAGCCAGGGCCTGGGGCAGATAAACAGCAAGATGGCTCAGTTAGTAAAGGTGATTGCCACCAAGCCTGACAGACTGAGTTCAATCCCAATGACGTACATGGAGGGAGGTGAGTGCAGGCTCCTCAATTGTCTTCTGACTTACATACATGTATGACATGGCATATACATGCCTGCATACACAAACATACACACAAAATCACAAAATAAGTAGAAAGAAAATGAAGGTTGTTTGGTAGCTGATGATGTTTTCAATTAATAAAAATACTGACTTTTATAATACATGTTTTTAATAGAAGACTGACAATGGCATAGTCTGTTTCAGGCCAGTCTGAGCAGCTGAAAGGAACCATGTCTGGGTCCCAATGGACACAGAAGAGAGGGCTTTCACAGAATGTGGAGTAGTCCAAAAGCCAGGGTGAATGAACCCATAGAATGTGCTTCTAGTGCAAATGTGGATTAAGGTTTGGTACCACAGAAAGCCATCCATGGGGAAGTAAGGAGAAGACTCTAACACACGTGTGGAGGGACATTTTAGAGACAGGACTGCTAAAGAAAGGTCACACAGAAGCTGGCCCATCAGGGAAGCAGAAGGAACAACAGATTCCCAAAGCATCATGGTGACAAAACCCAGGAGACTTGTTTCTGGGCAGAGAAGGAAAAAGGTCCTCTCTCTTTCTGGTTTCGGGACCTGGGTAGGGGGTGGACCATTTCCTGAGATAAGGAAGACTGCAGGGACAGCAGTGGAGAGTTAGCAGGGACCCCTAAAAACAAGCAACGCAACTTCTCCCTCCCTGCTCTGGAACTCCTGACTGCTCCCGCAAATGTGGCTTTGGAAGGGAAGAAATCTATCTCTGAACTTCTCTTTTCATGACTCCTTTGTTCTAGGCTTTTCTCTGGGAGAGGCTATCCACAAACAGCTCTTTGCTTGTGTGGAACTGTGAAAGGTAGCATGGTCCCCTGTTGAGCTAAGGCTAGAAGCCCCGGAGACGCTGAAGGAACGGTTGGAGCTTTGCCTGTTTCTGGGCACCAGAGCCCTGACACTAGCTGCAGTGCCCCCCGACCCCCACCCCCACCCCTGCCACCCCATAGATTTGTGGCCATCAGCCACCTAAGTGCAATGCCCCAACCCCTCCACTTGTAGAAGAGATGACCAGTGGTCACATAGGCTCAAGACAGATCCCCATTTTAATGAGGTACCTAAAGGCCTGGAGGGCTTAGCCAATAAGTATTCCTTCCCAGACATTCCTCCCTGCAAAAGCTGTTTAACCTCAGGCCCATCCTGAGAAGTGGGGTACAGTTTTACATATTTACTTTCCACCATGGCAACAAGTGATTTGGAACCACAGACTCTCTTCTCATCAGGATCCACCATGGGGGAGCCATGGAGAAAGTCTTTGCCTACAGAGCCACTGTCTAGTCTCCCACAGAAGGTCTCTCTGCGCTCCCAGCCACGACCACCAAGCCAACCACCAAGCTCAACCCAAGGACTCTCCCTAGGAACCAGCAGGAGCTACCCATGCCTCAACCCGTATCCACCCCCACCCCTACCCATCCCCTCACCCCTACCCACCCTCCTACCCTGGCCCTGAGCTACATCCAGCCCTCAGGGGGCAGGAGGGGCACTCTATTCTCAGCTCTTCTGTGGCTTCCAGCTGCACATGGATGCCAAGAGCTTGAGAACCAGATGGCCCCCGGCCTTGTGCCTCAGACTGTGTTTGCCCACCCTTGGAAAGGTGTCCCGGACTTCCCTACTGCCCAACACACACCTGGCAACAGCATGGGGTAAGCCCAATCAACCTGATCCACTTCCCATGTCCCTCCTCCTGGAGCAGTCATTCCCTGTGACCGACAGGGCAGAGCAGACACACCCAAGACCCTACATGCTTGGACCCTGGAACTATTCTGCCAGAGCCCTACCTGCCTAGGTGGGCGGTACCCTACCACAGCCTCAGTCTCCTGCAACGGGAGGTAATGATAATGCCTATCTCATTGTATTACCATAAAGATGAATATGACATGGCATCAGCTGGGTCCACTACATGCTATGTGAGTGGGTTGTGGTCCCCAAGGCTCTTCAACCATGTCATCTTCTTTCTGTAGTGCATACATCTCTGCCATGTCTTTCTTATCTTCAGGTGTCTCCCAAGTTCTTCCCTCAGCCTTCTCTCTCACAGTACCCACTTAGTGACATTCTTACTTCTTTAACCTCTGAGCGTTGTCTTGAGCTGATGCCAGAGTCTCTCATCTACCATCCTGAGTATCTTAAATGCAGCACACACCCACAGAAACCACATCTTCCCACCCTTGTCCATTGAGGACAGCGACACAACCACTCCTTCCATCTTCCTCAATATCTAAAACAGGATGCTCTTCGCTGTGACTCGGGAATCCACTACCCTCCCACCAAAGCACCATTCCTCATCAAACTTTAGACCAGACGTCGGTGTTAAGGAAAGCGCTTCTCTGTGGTAAGGGGAGCACGTCCCAAGTGGGACCAGATATCGTGCATATCCGATATTTACATTACAGTTCATAACGGTAACAAAACTACAGTCATGAAGTAGGAGTGAAAGTGATTTTACAGTCGCAAGTCACTCTGATGTGAGGAACCATATTAAAGACTTGCAGCTTTGGGAAGGTTGAGAAGCTGCTGGTGTAATGCCAGCCACGCCAGCACTCTCTTCCCCATTTCTTTGTCTGCACGTCTTCCATCTGCCAGGAATTGGTCCCAAGCATTAGACCATGGGTTTAGGCTTTGTGCTCTTCCGGACACACTCTGCCTCTGCTGCTCACATCTTTCACCCACGGGTCAGCTTTGCTGTTTCTCAATGCCACAGCAGATCCCCAAGCCTCTCCTAAATACCTTATACTAATTCCACAGAGTGGATCTGTTTCCTTATTTTATCTCATTCCCTAAACCAGACCTCTATCTTGCTGGCATGGAGGCTACTCCTGTCTCTCATGTACAGGGCCTGGCGTAAGAAAAAGTAGCCAATCCTTAGACGGGTCACTTTCTCAGTTTCAGCAATCCTAATCAAAACCTGGCCATGCTCGCTGCTTGTCACTCTGTACAGAGATCCCGCCCCCAACCCCACCCCTGAGAGAGAAGGTGTGGGAAGACAGAGGATCTGAGGTGGGAGAGATCTAAGCTTCCGTGCCTTTGGACTTGAGTAGGGGGCTGGTACCAGCAAGCGACCAGAGATGACCATCCTTGCCACACACTGTTCTGTTTTCACAACAAGAGTGATGGTTTGCCAGCATGGCTTGCTCTCTGTATTCCTGCCATCATAAACACATGCAGGGCAAAGCCCTGGGTGCCGCAGGGAGTTGTTGTTACCTTCTTCCACTTGAAGGTGTTCCGAGCTGTCTTTCAAGTCTTCATCCACCCAGGGCTGAGCTTGAACCTCCTCCTCCTTTCCCCCCAGGCTCCTGTCAGCATTTTTAAAGATCCATACAACCAAGATACAGACAACTGCTACCAAGACTGGAGTGAGGAGAAACATGGTCTGAAGTCCGACCCGGAAGGTGTGCGCATTCTCACAGTGGCCTTTATACAAACAGAGATGGAAGCAGGGAATGCTGGGAGTCGATGTAGACAGGGGGAAGTGTGCCAGGGAAGGAACAAAGTACAGACTCTCAGACTCCACGAGGACTTTGCAAAGGAGCAAAACTCACAGCCTGGTGCATGTGAGCTTAGTCCTGCTCTGATGCAAACATTTTTAAAATTGTGTACTTGGTCAGTATTATTTTCAGACATTAGTGATTATGGAGTGTGTTAAGCACTGAAATGTACTAGATTACTGGTGGTAGTTTAAACAAAAAGATTTGACCTTTTTCTTATTTAACTGTTCTCTCAGAGCATCTTCAGCCTGCCTGAAGGTAGGAATTGACCAGAGAGCTCGTTTTTTAAAAGAGCAGATTTATAAACATAGATTCTGATATCCTGAAAGAAAATGTCCAGAAAGAGGCTGTCAAAGTGTATTTTCAAAAGCATATGTATGAGGCACTGCCCTGGGGTTTTAAATTTTTTTTTAAACAGCCGTGCCAACATATGCAACAGAGAAGGCTAGTGTTTTATATTAGAGAAAGATTTTAATCGGGGAAAACAGTGACACAAAAAGTTTAAGATGACTATATCTAAACTTGAGAGTTTTTGTTTCTTTGTCTTAGTTTTTATCCTTGCCTGTGTCTTTATTGTTCAGGCTGTCATAACAAAAATGTCATTGGCTGAGAGATTTAAATATCAGAAACGTGTGTCTCATAGTTCCAGAGGTTGAGTCGTCCAAGCCCTGGGGACCAGCATATTTTGTTCCTCCTGGCTTGTACTGTTCTCGCAACTGGAATTGGGGTAGGAAGGAAGAACTGAAGAGAGAACCATTACTCATGGAAAGCTTACCATGTGGCTTCTACATACCCCACATACTAAATCACAGATGCTTCACAAACCCTCATGCCATGGATCCCACTACTGCTGCCATTTGAGCTCATATGAATGAGGCATGAATAGGTCAAATAACATGCGAAGTGCCAATAGAAGATAAATGGACCATAGATAGCCTCTATTTGGCTAAAAGGAGCCCATGCTGGGCACTTCTGCAGCGTGGACTAGAACCCTGAAGCCTGAAGTGTTGAACCTGCCTAGGTTACAGGGGTAAGCTGGGGCAAGGGTTGTCTGGCATTGCTACCTGACTACCAAGGCTCACGCTCAAAGAAAAGAGATTTTTAAAATAAGCCTAGTGCAGGGTCAAGAAGCCTGGCAGCTGTATCAGCAGCAGGATGGGCAGGGCAGAGTGGAGATTAGCCAAGGCTTCCAGACGGAAGAAACTGCAACTCCAGAGTTTGAAACCCACCCGAGTTTCTCCTGTCCTGGTGCATTTGCAGGTCTCAGAGAACGGGGATGGAGGTGGAGAGAGTGTGTCCTGCTCCCCATCTTTTGTCAAGTGAATTCCTTCAGTTTTCACCTGAGCTGGACCCAGTGAGCTTCACTGTCCTCTAAACCTAACACCTTGTCAGTGGCCAGGACTTCAGCTATGATAGTGTTGGTATAGGGAAAACTTCAGGTCACCACTGTATTGTACACTTACGCCAAAACACTGTGGCTTCCCTTGAGGGACAGGGTCTGTGACATAGAGTCAAAGAACACTATGTGGCTGATCTGTGGAGGCCTAGATGAGCCCTCTCTTCTCTCAGCACCTCTATAGCAGTGGTTCTCAACCTTCTTAATGCAGTGATCTTTTAATACAGTTCCTCATGTTGTGGTGACACCCTCCCAATCACACAATTATATTCTTTGCTACTTCATAACTGTATTTCTGTTACTTGTAGGAATCATAATGCAAATATCTGTGGTTTCCAATGGTCTTAGGCTACCCCTGTGAAAGGGTCATTTGACCTCCCAAAAGGTCATGGCTCACAGATTGAGAACCACTGCTGGAAAGCATCCTGGGCAACTTAACTTCTGTACTTTGTCCTTATCCAGTGAAGTAAGTGAAAGAGTGCTGAGGAAGCTACAAGAGAAGACACCAGGTGTTTCCCACTGTCTGTTGTTCCCACCGTCATTTTTCTTCATCTCCATCTTTTGGGCAGGTGCCACTGCCACCTTGCAGATCATATCAGGAATAGTATTGTTCTAGAAGACACATCTCCCACAAACAAATACTATGCTGATGTTAAACCTATGACATCTGTCTTTCTTCCTGCTTCCTAAAGTCCCCAATATCTGTTCACAGAAGGCAAAGGAGGGCACAGTGGGGCTCTGTAGAGAAGAGATTGCCCAGGGCATGGAGAGAGCCAGCAGAGTTCACAGAAGCAAACCAAACTATCTTAGCTGAGATCAAGTGCTCAGCAGCAACTGTGATGGTAATGATTTAAAAAAAATAGAAGCGGGGTGGGCTGAACTCTGTGATCTGATCTTAGATCAAATATGAAGTCAGGGAGACACCAGAACTTACAAGTCCACTTAAATGAATTAGTCAGCTTCATCTATGCACAAGCCAACTATTCTATCTGTGATGGTTTGTGTACGTTAGGCCCGTGAAGTGGCACTATTAGGAGTTGTGGCCTTGTTGGAGTAGGTGTGTCACTGTGGGTGTGGGCTTTAAGACAGTCATCCTAGCTGCCTGGAAGTCAGTCTTCTCCTAGCAGCCTTCAGATGAAGATGTAGAACTCTCAGCTCTTCCTGCACCATGCCTGCCTGGACACTGCCGTGTTCCCACCTTGGTGATAATGGACTGAATTTCTAAAACTGTAAGCCAGCCCCAAATAACTGTTGTCCTGATAAGAGTTGCCTTGGTCATGATTTCTGTAAAACCCTAACTAAGACACTATCCCACCCAAGGATATGTCTCTACCTGACACTCACTGGGTTGCATCATGCCTACACTCATGGTGTCTATGTGGCAATGATGGTTAAGTCTTCCTCTGTGCTATCCCATTGAGTCCACAGGATGAGTCGTGTGTCATTGGCTATATAGAGGAGCAAGTGAGACCAGGGACTCTCAAAGTAAGACCTTAGTTCTAGAAGTAGCATCCCTTGGGGGCTTGTTAGAGGTGCTAATTCTAGGCCAAATCATAGGCCTACTAGCTCATATACCCTAAGGGCAGAGCTCAGCAGTCTGGTCTTCACAAGTCGCTCAGGTGACTCTACTGCTGGCTACAGTTTGAGAGAGACTAGCCTAGAGGAAAGACACTCAACCCTGACTTTACTCCAAATTTAGATTTTTCAGACTGAAGCCCCCACACCACCTAGAGAAGCAGAACTTCCTACCGTTAAGGTTAAGTGTTAACTGAAACATTTTTTCCTACTGCATGTTTCAAATGCACACAGTATCTTACAGTCAACAAAATACCTATAAACATCAATTCAGAATCTTAAGGATGAAATTGGGTTTGTTTGGTTTATACTAAGATGACTCTGGTCACCTTAAATCAGGTGCCAAGAAAGGCTGTGGCTGAGAAAGCAAACAGTAGCATCTCTTGTAGCTTTTCTACAAATGCTCAGAATTCAGATAACAGACAACAGGAATCTCAACTCTCTTAGGATCTCACCAGTGCCAGATGCGACACTGGAGATTAATTACTGTAAAATCAAAGGTTATACCTTCCCCCTCCTAGCAAACCACACATTTGAATCTATTCTTAGTCCTGCTCCTTATGTTCCCCATAGGAGAAAAGTGTGAGATCACAGGCTTGATGTACTTTTTTTTTTTTTTTAACCCAGTGGACATCTAAGCTGTGCCAGTTCTGAGAGTCCCCAAATATAGACTCTTGGCTATAAACAGTTCCCATAAAGACGCATAAGGGAAGTCACGGGTCCCAGAAAGCTGGTAACTGTGAAAGCATGTATCCATCCATGATGGCTGTCTTTGCTCCTAGGGAAGTCATTCTGAGATTGGAGGAGTCCCTAGGAATTTCCCTCACCTGAGCAGTATGCAAGTTGTGCTTCTCAGGGCACAAGCTGGGCCCATGAGAAAAATCATGGCAACTCTCCAGTCTCTGTATTACATCATCTTTTGAAACCAATGCTTTTCTATGAAAGAGCTCAGCCTCAGGCCAAATGGCAAGGAAAAGGAGACAGCAGCTGTGCTTGCTGAGTTGTAACAACAGTTACTGATACTATCAGGCCGCTGATGCTTGCTTGTCCTGAGCATTTCCCCTGGTGAGCCTGGCTTCATGGTGGAACATTACATAACATGCCTATCCCCTTCCACCCCTACCATTGGCTTCCCAGACCATTCTCCCACCCACACATGCTCACAGCATATCACAGCATAGCAATGGAGGGTTGCTGTATGGTCTCCAGGCTTGATAGCATCCATGTGCTGTTTGTTCATTCAGAGCAGAATGGGGCTCAGTGGGGGCCAGGATCGGTGGTGACAGGAACAGGAGGAGACATTGCTGTAAGGAAGACAGGGGAGCCTGATTCCAAACACATCTAAGTGCTTTCAAGGGTTGACATTCACCAGCAATAAAGCCGATGTTTTCATTTTAACTGTACAACTTCTGAGTCTGGGTCTGAGTTCCAAGGAGCAGAGAAAGGGACATGGAGCACCCTGAGGTAGACACACTTACTGTCCTTATTGTGGAGAAGAGATCAAACCTTGAAAGATGAGCACCATCCTTGTGTGCCTTCATCACAGACTGCCATGCTTACACTGGACAGTATGATATAGGCAGCATCATCCTGAAGTTCCCAGGGTAGAACCTCTGGACCCATACTCCAATGTCTTAGGAAGGGACGTTCTGTGTGTTAGACAAATATTCACTTTAGCGAGATATTTTCCCACTACATTTGCAATAAAGCTCGATGACTGGGCAGTATGAGAGGTAGGCAGAGTGAGGAGTTGGGAGGAGAGAAGGAGAGAAAAGAGAAGAGAAAAAGAAGCTAGCAGCCATGGAGGACAGATTGGTTGAAAGCAGTTCTGGGTAGTAACTTATATCAAAAGGTTAGATATTGGGTAACTATTCTAATTATGTGGGCATCTGGTTAATTGAGCATTTCCAAATATATAAATCCATTGGATATTCTTT